CATGTTTTAACGTTAAATATGAAACGGAGCTTAGATTGATTCATGAAAGACATTAGTGCGAAAGTAAATGCAACAGACTAGATCGAAATTTGAACTTTGCGCACCTATTCCAGTTTCCGCATCAATATGTGTTCGCTACTTTCACATCTTTGGTATCGTTACTCTCTATCGGAAATCAGAAAAATTGCAAATTTTTTCCAAAATATTACGAATATGAAAGTGTGCACTTGTAAGTGTATATTTGTAAGCGTGTACTTGTAAGTGATAATCGGATAGACATTAAAAAGTAAAACTTAACTATTTTTAATTTTATTTTGTCGTTGAACTTTCGATCTAAATACACTTGCAACACATGAATATGACAATGTATTAGAAATGATATTCAGTATTGAAATCGTCATTCAATTAATATAAGGTTTCTGCCTTAAGTGCTATCTCTCTTAAGTCACTCTACCATATCCAACATTAATCCAGCTCGAGCTTATTTAGTTTTATAAATATAAGGAGAGACAATTCACTTCTTTTTCCAAATCATGTATTTATTGCATCATATTTTCAAGAGTTCAAATGATATCGATTTCTTAGCATTTTGTCGAAAGTTGATTCTGGTCAGTATACGCCTCATTTGATCACTCCTCACTTCAAGAGATTGGCTAATCAGTTCACAAGTGTATTCATCATATGAAAAAAAAAAAAAAGAAAAAGAAAAAGTTCTATCCACTTTTGGAAAGGTTATATGTCTCATTGCACAAATAAAACTGTCAGGCAGAGTTCAATTTTTAAGGTACTGGAGCTGAAGAAGAATGTTTAACAGCCTAATAGCCTAACCACGTAGAAAATTTGATGCGATTTGACATTGAAACCTTTGAGGAAATTAAGGCGTGAAATACTTTTCTGAAAGATAAGAAAATGTAGAGAAAATAAAATTCTTCCATTACTGGAGGAGGGATTTTGAAAAATGTGTTTAATGTCAGGCGGAGGCGACGAATAGTTTTTAACTTGGCAGATGATTAAATCGAGCATTTTGTTAAAAATCTTCGTAAATTTGGTTAGCACACCATACATCTATTGGTATTTACTAAGGTTAGCTTAGTTTGGTACAAGGATATACCCGGTGCATCCCCCCCTGTAACAATCAACACATTGCAATAATAATAGTTTGCAAGGCTCGACGAGACTCCTAAAAGAGACTTGACAGAAAGTGTATCAAATCATTCTTAGTATCTCAAGAACCAGCTGTGAAGCCAGGATGCAATTTGGTATTAAATTATAGAGAATTATTGGGTTATTCAGTCGTTTATGAGGTGCTATTTAGTTTGTCTATTCTGCGCCCTTCGCATTCATAATAACTTCGGCGTGAAGAGGTTTATATAACGTCTCATATCGTAACTCAGCCGAGATTTATGCAAATTCTGACTTCGTTGAAGGCCAAATCTAGGGTTGAATAAGTAGTGATTTCAGACCGTCGATGAGCGTAATGATTAACGAGTGTAACGAAGCAGTAGATGGCAATTCCGAAAAAGAACTGTTTTTAAAAAGTGGAAAGATGGAATACTTTGAAGCGGACTAAGGTGTCATTGTATGAGGGAAGCTATTCTTTCGTTAATATTAAATGACTGGATATTGTCCATAAAGACCTATTAAATCGTAAATAGATTTGCATGTTGTTGGCATATCGATTCAGCAGAGTGCGACTTATGAAGTCGTATCTCGGCCGAAGACAAAACATCAACAGCTCTGCAGTCGATTCCTGACAAATAGTATAAATAACAGAAGTTTTGAGAAAAACAAAACAAACTAAACACAAACATAGACATTTTACCTCGCGCAAATCCAGATTCCTGTAGGCAGGACTTACTCTTACAAATTTACGAGAGTCACTCTTTAAATTTTGTATACACATGTACACGTTGTCAGATTTTATTATTAAAATCAATGATGCTTTCAAAATAATAAATTCGTATCAACCAACCGATTTTTCTAAAATTTCATAATCTATTTACGTTAAATAAACTGGTCAACACAATTTTTGGTTTAGCTAATTTGACGGTTTTGATTCCTAAAATGAACTCAGTTTTTCATGGTCAGGTACCGTTTTTTCTGTACTGAAATGGCTCATTTTTGGAAAAAAGATCAATTTACGATCTTGGCTGATCGCAAAATTTACTTAATAAAGGTCGTAGAAATCCATCAATTTTCAAGTAGGCCGAGCAATCTATTTCAGCCATTTGAAATAAAGTACCTTCATGAGAAAAAAAGTGTTTTTGAGTCAAAAAATAGAAGTATTGAATTTTTCCAATTTATCGCTAAAATTCAAATTAACTGATAAATTTTATCAGTAATAGACTTTAGTAAACCTGAGCATTAAGTTGACATTAAAAAAATGAAACGTTAAAATCTTCTGTTTGATATTCACAAATTTATCCCATCACTTTTATTTCTTCACTACGGAAAAAAAAAACGAGGACACTGAGAGCATTTTGTTTACACAGTTGGAAAGAAACTCCAACTAAGGACATCCCAACTGAATGCACATATTCCACTGTACATGATACTGATGGAGTATCAAAAGGGACTTAAATAACATTGAACGTAACAGACAATCAAGGAATAGAAAATTGTTACCATTGCTCTTATGTTCATATAGGTTTTTATTTCTGCTGTTAGTTTATTAAATAATTTGATGAAAATACTTGTTGGTTTTGGTATATTTTTAAAGACTTAGGGTTTGCTTGTTATTGTAAAATAGTATTTCTCAATAAGCAGACCAATATTTGTTGGTTTAAATACTAATTGAGATGTTACTACGATTTTATTTTGAGAAATATTGGCATCAGTCAATATTATATATACAGAAAATAAATGAAAGAAATGCTTTTTATCCAAAATGAGGCAGTTCTGTAAAGCAAAACAGTAGCTAACCAAGAAAAGGTAAGGCCATTTTTAGATTCAGCGTCCTCAAAGTAGCTAAAAAGATTTTTGGTGTCTCGACACAATTTCTAGTTTTTTTTTTGTTGACCAGTGATATAAATATTGAGTTTCTACTGAAATTAATAGAGGAGTTTCTATGGTTATTATATAATAATTTGATCCCCTAGACGTAATGCACTATATTAGATTTTAGTCAATGTTTTCAAGATAAATTGGCATCAACCAATCGATTCGGGGAAAATTTTCAGAATATATTTATATGATAGTTTCTGTTTTTATTTCAGATATTTACTATAACTATTAGCGTGAAACTCGAAGGTTTTTCATCGTATTGTCTTGTAAATACATACAATAGTATAGACAGTAATGTATATCTTTTTAAAATTCAAATATACAAAGGTTGTCATGAATTGTAAGATATAACTTGCAAAAAGAAACAATATATTGTAAATTTAATGTGTGATAGAAAGACAAATCTGGAAAAAACGAAAATAATAACGAGAAATCAGAAAACAACCATACGTCCGATGTTCAGGCGAGCTTCACATCAAGGACCCGCCAGTCTAGATACAGAATATCGACTCTTCCTTATTATTTTCGTATTCCATTGAAAAGGAAGATGTTCCACGGAACTGTTACTTTATGAAACAGACTTTTGAAAGATGCTTCCTCGATCATTACGATCTTCAAGTCTTGTCTCAATCATTATCTATCCTACATATGCACTTTTTGCTTCCCTCTTTTACGTCATTACAACATAATTCAGTAAACTTCTAACTTTAGTGGCTATTGGTCCTTGTATTGGATTAATATAAAAAAAGAAGTTGAAAACATTAGTAAGATCGGAAGAAGAAAATATGATGGATTTAAGAATGTCATAAGAGATTTGAGAATATTTAAAAGATTAATAAACAAGAAAATTGAATTGAACAGTCAGTAAGTAATTGAAGAAGCTGTTTTTTGCGAGTGTAAACAGAGAGAAAATATACAGAATATTAAGAATATTTGCTGATGTATATAGAACGACCCGATTTCAAATGGTCTTAACAGCAATATAAGCATTAATATCTTGACAACATTAATTAACTTGTAAATACCTGAGAAAAAGTACTTAAGCAAATATACGTTTCGAATAGTTATGCTTAACTGAATTTGTTACTGAAATCTCTCATATATTTTCATTAAATGTAAACACTAAAGAATTCATGACGCTGATGGTTTTTTATATAAAGCCTTAGATAATATCATGTAATGATGTAATATCATGATATATGTCCATGTCATTATGTAATATCACAATGTATGATCATCTCATTATGTAATATCACCATATATTATCATGTCATTATGTAATATTACAATGCATGATAATGTCATTATGTAATATCGCCACGTATGATTATGTCATTATGTAATATCATCATGTATTTCCATGTCTGTGTGCAACATCACTATGTATGATCATGTGATTATGTAATATCTTCTACAGGAATTAGCATAAAATCGGAGTTTTTCAGCCACTTCAGTATATTTTGTTAATATTTTCCAGACTTGCTTTAGTTTGTTCACAGAAGCACATGAGTTGGGTATCAGTAAATCTAGAACTGATCACAATACTGAATGGGTCAACTAATATAATTTACTAAGCACTCTCTACTCTACGGCACTATGCTTACATGCATGCTTCAGTCTAGAAGTGTCTGTATATATGACTTTGTGATGTGCCAATATTAGTATGTCTGAATGAAACATGCAAACGTATTCAAATATGTAGGGCCTTACTTAGGGTTGGTTGATAGCGTGTGTTTGTATTTGTGTACAATATGATCTACATTTTTTAAGGATTAGAATAAACTTACTGCCCCATGTTTGTGTAATTAACTCCGAAATAATATATTGAAAATATAAATGCATTTATTACACTAATTCAGTGTATCTATGCATTTCTAGTCGAGTGTGGGTCAACGTTGTTGCATGTGTGATAATGTGCAAAAATGAAACCCGCACCGCGTAGGGCAATTTTTCAGATTGTTATTTTCTTCCTTTATAAAAATTAATCTTTTCCCGGCATGCACCGGAAAGGAAAAGGCAGGAAAACAAAAGTGGACAGTCAATTGGAAAAGGAAGTGAGATATTTTACAGCAAGGAAAATTAATTTTGGAAGAAATATGAGTTTTTCACAGCCTTATTTTTAAAGTTTTTCTTTTTTTCTTTTCTTTTTCTCTATTTCCTTCTCTCTTTTCCTTTGTTTTCTCTATTTCCTTCTCTCTTTTCCTTTGTTTTCTCTATTTCCTTCTCTCTTTTCCTTTCTTTTCTCTATTTCCTTCTCTCTTTTCCTTTCTTTTCTCTATTTCCTTCTCTCTTTTCCTTTGTTTTCTCTATTTCCTTCTCTCTTTTCCTTTGTTTTCTCTATTTCCTTCTCTCTTTTCCTTTTTTTTTCTCTTTCCTTCTCTCTTTTCCTTTGTTTTTTCTCTCTTTCCTTCTCTCTTTTCCTTTGTTTTCTCTATTTCCTTCTCTCTTTTCCTTTTTTTCTCTATTTCCTTCTCTCTTTTCTTTTTTTTCTCTATTTCCTTCTCTCTTTTCCTTTGTTTTTTCTATTTCCTTCTCTCTTTTCCTTTGTTTTCTCTATTTCCTTCTCTCTTTTCTTTTTTCTCTATTTCCTTCTCTCTTTTCCTTTGTTTTTCTCTATTTCCTTCTCTCTTTTCCTTTGTTTTCTCTATTTCCTTCTCTCTTTTCCTTTGTTTTCTCTATTTCCTTCTCTCTTTTTCTTTCTTTTCTCTCTTTCCTTCTCTCTTTTCCTTTGTTTTCTCTATTTCCTTCTCTCTTTTTCTTTTTTTTCTCTATTTCCTTCTCTCTTTTCCTTTCTTTTCTCTATTTCCTTCTCTCTTTTCCTTTCTTTTCTCTATTTCCTTCTCTTTTTTCCTTTGTTTTCTCTATTTCCTTCTCTCTTTTCCTTTGTTTTCTCTATTTCCTTCTCTCTTTTCCTTTGTTTTCTCTATTTCCTTCTCTCTTTTCCTTTCTTTTCTCTATTTCCTTCTCTCTTTTCCTTTGTTTTCTCTATTTCCTTCTCTCTTTTCCTTTCTTTTCTCTATTTCCTTCTCTCTTTTTCTTTCTTTTCTCTATTTCCTTCTCTCTTTTCCTTTCTTTTCTCTATTTCCTTCTCTTTTTTCCTTTGTTTTCTCTATTTCCTTCTCTCTTTTTCTTTCTTTTCTCTATTTCCTTCTCTCTTTTCCTTTCTTTTCTCTATTTCCTTCTCTTTTTTCCTTTGTTTTCTCTATTTCCTTCTCTCTTTTCCTTTCTTTTCTCTATTTCCTTCTCTCTTTTCCTTTGTTTTCTCTATTTCCTTCTCTCTTTTTCTTTCTTTTCTCTATTTCCTTCTCTCTTTTCCTTTGTTTTCTCTATTTCCTTCTCTCTTTTCCTTGCTTTTCTCTATTTCCTTCTCTCTTTTCCTTTGTTTTCTTTACTTTCTTATTTCTTTCCTTTTGTTTCTTTACTCCCTTCTTTCTTTCCCTTTGTTTTATTTCTTTCTCATTTTGGTCATGACGCGTTCTTTCTCTTCCTTTTCTTCTTTGTTGTGTCTGCGTTTATTTTTTTTCCATTTCATTCCAGTGTCATCACTTCACATATTTTTTTCTTATTTTATCATTACTCTTTCCCAACAGTAAAATTGTAAATGTTTTCTTTTGCTTTGCCTGAATCTCGTCTCAATGTAATTTTTCATCTGTCAATTTCGATTGAATAGAAACAAAAGAATAAAGACACAACAATGAAGAAAAGAAGGAATTTGTAAAGTGACAATAAAATATTTAGCGTACAAACGACATTTACAACACATCATGGAGAAGGAATTCACTAAATGCAGTCAGTGAAGAAAAGGACGGCCGATAAAATATTACAATAGAACGATTCGAACAAAGTCAAGGAATATCATATTATATTATGAGTCGAAATATTTTCTTTATAAATTTGCCTGATAATAAAAGGGTCTCTGGAGGAAAAATCAACACTGGTACTTGGTTTTATTAGGAGTTTTTACTATTGCCTTAATGTCTTTTTGTTGCTATTTTTTGAAGTTCTAAAAATAAATTCTTCGCCTGTAATATTACAGAAGTTTGAGACAATGAAAGAACTTTGGAGGTGTCTTGGAATAACACCTCAAGAACTCGTCAATCATGTCTTAACTATTTAGACGACTAACGCATTTATATGCAGGCCACATAATGTATCTGAGTACCTGATTGTGCGCTTGCACTTATGTGATAATCGATTAATGTGATTTTATCTTTTCAGAGTCTCAATTGTGAACCATGAGCTGAGGTGAAACGGCATGCTATAACTTTTGCGATACAAAGCACAGCGATAGTGAGATTGCACGTTTTCTCGTAGTCGCCAGGTCATTTGCACACAAAGTTCGTAGGAAGGTGCATTCTGGTCCAGTATACCATGTATAATGGAACATTTTAATTCCATATTATTGTGACGCTATTTTCTGCTTTCGAATTTATTTGACGCTGCCTTATTGATCAACTGTTTGTCAAATTATTTGTATTACTTCTTAAATAGTTTAAGATTCTTACACTTTCACAAAGGTTTTTTTTTACAATGTGGTACATACAGTATGAGGTCCGGGATTGTAGTAGAGGGTTACTGAGTAAGAAGAGAATTTTATGTAGATAGGTGGGAAAGATAACGGTTAACTCTAGACTTGAACAAATTAAGATTATAGTGAATAGGAAAACAATCTCTCCCCCCCCTACAATGCACCTGCCCATTAGTTTCGTCTTGTTCAGACTCCCAGGTGTGTCAGCGTCTTTCCATCTCAGATGTGCCTCTTTGCTTTTCTCAAAACTAAAATCGTCATTAATGGTCGAGATTAAAGAAAACACAGTGACGCAGTTAATAGGGCTTATCAGACTCTTTAGAAAAATAGGAATAGTCATGATACGTGCATGAGGCCCTGACATGAAGGAGTAGCTCTGTTGATTTGACTTCTGGGCAGACGGGATATGTCCACTGGGAGCATCACACATTTATTTGATCTTCTTGTTTGATTGTCCCCTCATTAAAGAGTTCTGGAGGTAGACCTTTTCTGGGTTTTGGCGTCATTCGAAGGAGGCTATCCTATCAGCAGGTGTATAATATCGGGGCTAGAGTACCGTCATTGTGTGAATTGTTTCTGGGCCGTGCAGCATTCACCGGTGGGTTCCCTTGAAGCGTACTGCAACGACTGTATCTCTGGGCGACTCTCTCCAAGTTATCTATGCATGCTTCTCCTGCGGGTGTATCTGTCTCTCTGCCAACCAGTCTTCGACCAAACAATGCACACACTACTCAAAATACAAATAAACAAAACTATCAAAGAAAAAAAAGTAGACCCCTCGTATACAATCTCCTATACAAACGTGTGGTGTCTACGTTCCAATTTCCCAGAAGTGGAAGACTATATTTTCTAAACTGAATCAGATCTCCTACTTTCTGAAACCGGTATCAACACCTCATAATCACTAGCGGAGTTCTCCATCCCGGGCTAGTCACCCCTCATAGTCAAACATGACCAGCTAAATCGTCACAGCCACGAACTCAGGGCCTACAAGAATGAGTTTCCCTGCGGCAGGGACGAAAAAAACCCCAAAAAAACAAAAACAAAAAAAAAAGCAACAAAAAACGAGAAACCCGACTATGTACTTCTGCGTGGCACTTATCCATAGTACATTTGTTCTTTTTACTGTCCTCAGGACTGTAGATCCGAGAAGATTGACAATATCCTTACTCAGTTCCCCTCGACTAGCTTTCATGTCTGCGGTGACTTCAATATCCATCATAAGGAGTGGCTAGTTCACTCCAATAAAACCCATGAGGAAGGCAGATATTACAGAGACTTCTCCATCGTCTATGAACTAACCCAAGTCATCGGAGAACCTACACGGATTCCGGACACGAGGGGACATCAGGCGAACCTCCTCAACCACTTCCTAATCTCCTGTCCTGTATGCTTATCAAAAGGTTTTCCTCCACCTCAGACCATTCCCTAATCAGAGTCCAGATTGATGCCAAACATAAGGCATCCACTTATCTACTGTTCCATAGGACGATTTTCCGCTATGCGCAGGCAGACTGGGACAGAATTTAATCCTACGTGATAGAAGCTCCCCTCCCAATCTTCTTCAAGCATGCTGCCTCCAAAACTGTTGCATTTGTCACTGATTGGATCCTTTCTGGAATGCAGAGTTTTATCTCCCAAAAACAAACAGTCAACACTGGTTAACCTCTGAATGTGCTGCAACTCTAACTCACCGAAACCACTACGTCAATATTTATCGCGAGGAGCGAAGAACTGCCCGCAATTGGTGCAAAATTCCTAGAAAACGCCAAGTGAAGCTAAACACAAGCAGTTCAAACCAAGGTTGAAAAGAAACAAATTGAATCCCGTGATTTCTGGAAGATTACCAGCGAAATCATGAACAGTAATGCCCACGATTATAAATGACCCCGAGGTCATATCTTCGACTTTAGATGACAAAGACCAACTTCTCCCCAAGTTCCCACGTCTCACTGAGTACAATTTCAGTAATATTACTGTCAGAGCATGAGATATCTCTAGACTTATCAAAAGTTCTGACCCTAAGAAAGCTACAGGTCCAGACAAAATTCCGGTGGTTGTGCTTAAGAATATCAACCCGGCACAATCTCCAATTTTTGCAAAATTATTCAACCGCTGCTTGAAGGAGAAATCCTTCTCAAAACTGTGGAAAGCGTCAAGCGTATGTTTTTAAAAAGGCAGTTTTGCAATCTTCCTGTACAAACCCATTAATCTCCTCAGTATCATCAGCAAGCTCTTTGAAGCCATAATCAATAAGGTCGTCGAGCGTATAGAAAAACAAACACAGTGATGAGCAGTATGGGTTTCGGTCGACCCGATCCACTGCCGATGTCCTGACTGTAATCACTCAAAGAATCCGTGATGCTCTTGACGACAAACACACCTCGAGGACTACCTATAACAAAGGCCTTCGACAAGTTCTGGAAATTTGAAATTTAGAAATAATTTTTGATATATTATATGCCGAAAGCAAAAATGTAAAATCTCTAGCGTTTCAAGGTTCGTGCGCAGGAGTAGTCTCATCAACGTAAACAAACTTAGTCCGACGAAATCCTAAAGAACGAAACGCGTCACACAAAAATGTTTACACTTTATCATATATATATATATATATATATATATATATATATGGGAGGTTAATATTTTATTCAGATTAATCGCTTGCTGCTTAAATAACCGGTTCTCATTTGAAGCCATCTGCTCATAATAATATTTAACAATAAAATAGACAAAAACTTTTAATCCTTGTCTAAGTTACATTATTTATAATGTTTCATTTGTATGCTTCAGAACAAGCCCGAATGATTGCATTTTATGTTTAAAAATATGTTCTTAATGAAATCGTTAGTCAAAGTATGAATACATTTAATTTTTTCATTAAAATGCAATCATACAGGTTTTTGTTGTTGATTTCACTGTTTATAAAGTAAGAATCTTTAACTAAAGATGCAAACATTACTGGATATTTGTTTGAGACTTAATTGATTTTCTTAAAATCTCTATGACAAAAGTTTGGTATGATGATATGTGGAATCATTCGGACCAGATTCGTTTTTCTGTATTGTTTTATTCATAACGTTTGCATAGCTCTAATTTACGATCTCCTACTTAGCCCTTTCACTTGTATAATTCTATGAATTACTGTGACACTATTTAGCTATGGTAATTGGCTAACTAATTAAGTATGGAAATTAAAAACGAGAAATACTTAAGGCGATAAAAAGCTATAACGAAAGACATACCGAGCGACATTATTTTTTTAACAAAAGAAAAATGAGTAAAGATTTTATTTTCATTTACGAAGAAAGATATTTTTTCGCAAAAGACAGAAAATTCGTAAGAGAAGCAGGTTTCAGATTCTGTCGGAATTAATTAATGTTATGATAAGAAATTGACGCGCCAAGGGAGACAGAATACGGGTAAATAATAACAATTTCACCACACACGTAGCAATAATAAAAATTTCGATTCGGTCAGCTGCATGTAGATCGAAGTAATCGAAATTCGGTTATCTTGGATTCCGACGAAGAAAGCCAGCCGTATGAATACAGACCTTGATATGGTCATGTTACTGCCTGTTCAAACTGTTAACGACAGACTTTCTGTCACCGAGAACGAGCATCTGGAAATGCGATAATATTGAGACGAGAAAGACAAAGAGATTTGGTCTTCAGGTGGAAACAACCACCTAGTTAAAAGTTGACTGCGGTGATTAATGAGTCGGCGGAGAATTCCGCTAATGAATTCCAGGTGACCCAGGATAAGATAAAAAAAATTAATGGCCGCAATGTGCGATTCATAAGAATTCTGGCCGTTAGAAAAAAAAGAAAGAAAAGGAAAGATATTTTTTTTCTTTGGGTGATAATGTAAACTAATGCCAGTCTACCTACACTCACACCGCCAAGAGATCTTTGGCTAAAGTAGTAGCATGGGTGGTAGGCGGAGGTGAATGTATGAGAAAGAAGGGAAACTTGTTGACGCCCACTGAAGGGATTGATATGAGATACCGATATGAGAAAGGAAGAGTTTAGGAGGATAATTCTCCTCCGACATCTCCTCACAGAAGGGGGAGA